TAAAAACAAAAGATGTTTTTTTAATATTTTTCCAGGCAGCAATAAATCTATTATTTGATGAACGAACAATGCCAATTCCATGTTGCAAATTTTCAGAAGTAAACAAATTTTGATTTGTCGATTTTCTTATTTCGATATTTTTGTATTAGTATATGACACCAGCAAATACACCAGCTACACCACCAAATTTTCCTGAAACACTTCTTTCATTTAATAAATTGTCTACATCAGGTGGAACAACAGGAACACCATCATCATCATCATCATCAACAACAAATGATAATCAAATTTCTTCAACTACGACAACAACAACAACAACAAATCATTCATTATCCTCATCACCAATGAATATGACAATGATGATGATGATGGATGGAACAGCTTAAAATAATTAATCAACTATTCTTTTATTTCTTTAACATTTTATTTTAATAAGAAATATTTCAATCTAGAAAATAAATCTTGGGATAGAACGGGCGTTTTATTTCGTAACGTTAGAATTTTTCTTTTTTTGTTATATCTTCTCACATCTCAATGTAAGTACTACAAACTATATGAAAAGAAAGAAAAGAAAAGAAGCAAAAAAACGTAAAAGTTAGTTTATGCTTTTAAATCATCAATATATGGCATTTTGTTAAGATTTCCAATAGAAACTAATGTTGGTTGTTTTCCATTTAACATTTTCTTTGCTAATTGATTTATTGAATCATGTGAATAATCACCTTGTTCTAATGATCCAACAATTGATTGAACATCTGTTGATCGATCACTAATGTCAGGTTGACTTATCATTTTCGAAAATACATCTGAAGATTGTTCAGATGTCATTTGAAGATTTACTTGAAGTTTTTTCCTTTAAAAACGAAGAAGTCAAATTATACAAAATATTTATATATGAGAAAATATACTTAGCAACAGTAACATCATCTTTACTAATACCATTTTTTAAAACTTTATTAAATTCATTCCATACTGCTTTAACAACTTTGTCTGTATCATTTTTATCACACATGATATGAACACCAAATAAACCTGATTCAGTATAATGAAGATTAAATGATGAAACTAAACAAGGTGAATTAGCAACGGCTTGAGCAGCACGTTGAAGTCGATTTGATCCAGCTGACCATTTTATATTTGGACCATTACCAAGTACTTCATGTAATAATGAACTTGTTAAAATACCTTTTTCATCTTTTGAACTAAAAATAATCTCATGTTTTTTTAATTAATATAAAAAATATGTTGGTTTTTTTTCTTATTCAAGATTACCTAACACCTTCACATGCTAATGCAATATGAACTAAACTTGATTGAGTATCATGTCGAAGTTCTCCTAAAATAGAATATTTTTAATTAGAGAAAAAAAGAAGAAAGTAAATTAAATTCAAACCTCCTTTATATTTTGATGGTTCAGGTTCCGAATCAATTAATTTAAGATTTCCAAAACCTGGTGTATAAACACAATCAAGCGGTGAAAAACGAAATTTATCCGCTAATTGAACAAGTGTTGCATGATTACAACCAGTTCCAACTAAAGATATGCGACTTGGTGTATAATAATGAGAATGAAACGTATACATCTAAAAAAAACAAATATAAAGAAAAAATAAGTAAATAGATAAAATCTTTTACTTGTTTATGCGATAGTTTTTTCATCATATCAGGACAAATTGATAATGATCGACTTAAACCACCTTTGAATGCTGCTTCATGAAGTAAATCATTTAATTCTAAAAAGATTTATTTTATTAATAAAACAAAACAATAAACAAGAAATCATACGTAATTCAGGTGATTGTAAATAAAGTTTATGATCAATTTCTAAACGTTCTCGTTCATCATGAATTTCATGTGGTTTAAACATTGGATAACAAACAATAGGAATCAAAAATTGTGCTCCATGTGTTCTGAAACAATAGTTAATTAATTCATTTTGTTTTTCGAAACTTAAATACATACAATTCACTACGAAGACCTTCAATTGAATAAATCATTTGTTCTCGTGTTTGTACACATCTATTTATTAACAAATATATATATATGTATTCAATTAATTTCATTTTTAATTTACTTAAAATTTGCACCGAGACGTTCCAAATTTTTTGTTAAGCCAAGTCGACTAACATATTTCGTGCTCTAAATAATTTATATCAATAAAATTTATTGTACAAAAATAAATAGGATTTGATCAGTCTATGAAAATTCTATTTATTTTCAGTTATTACAAGTCTATCGTAATCTTGTGAAATAGAATATTTTCTTTCTTTTTTTGACAAATGAAATCTTTAATATTAAATTACCATATTTGAAAATACTCGAAGAAGTGTTGTAACACCTCGACTATCATACGGTTCATATTTTGCTCCGGCTTCAACAACAGCTGCAACGCGAAAAACTGGTGAATTGTTTTCCATCGAAGCCACAGTTAATCCATTTTGTAATTTAGTTACCTGTAAATATATACATACAATCTTGGTATAAATAAAATTTTAACTTACATTAATACTTTCTTTTGGTAAATTAACCCGTTGTGGTATTCCATAATGACCAGATTTTGTTTGAGGCGCTTTTTTTTGACTTGCAGTTGAAGCAACAGCAGCTGATGATGATGATGCTCGACGCTTTAAAAAAGAAATAATTCTTTATAAATACGAATAATAATTTAATTAACTAACCAGAGCATTAAAACTGTACTTGCAAGTTGCCATCGACATAAATAATAATAATAAAAAAATGGATAAATAGACGAAGAATATATTTAAACCATAAAAAGAATATTTTGTCCTCGATCAACTCAAAAAATATTTTTCATTGGTTAATCGATATCGACCAATAATATTTCTAGTTTTATCTAACTTTTCGATGTCTTTGAAACATTGTTTTTCCTATCGCTTTGTTCAACTTTTATTTAATAATGAACATCAGTTAAGATATCTATCATCTTCAATAAAAAAAATTAAAATGAGTAATCAAAAGAAAACAAATCAACCATCAATTGCGTATGAAGTTTTTTACTTATTTTTTGTTTTAATGAATTTTGTTTTAGTTCATTTTTTACGAAAAAAGATCATGCACCAATAATTTCACCAAAAAAAGAAATTGTAACATCACCAATTCGTATAAATAATAAAGAACCTGTTGTATCACCATCATCAGATTCTGAAGATAGAATTCTTCCTACAAAACGATCAAAAAAACGTCTTTTAAGTTTTGATGAAAGTGATAATGAACAAAAAAGTACTTCATCTACTGAAAATAATAAAAAAACACCAATAAAAGCTGTTAAACAAATGAAAATTGTTGACACAAAACCTGAAATTAAAGAAGAAAATAAGAAAAAAACACCAACAAAAACTATTAAACCAGTGAAAAGTATCGATACAAAAGCTGAAATCAAAGAAGAAAATGATAAAAAAACACCAATAAAAACTGTTAAACAAACGAAAATTATTGATACAAAAGCTGAAATTAAAGAAGAAAATAATGATACAATCATTAAAATTGAACAAACTACAACTGTTCCTATCGAACAAAAAATGTAATTGATTTTATCTTTCGGAAAATTTTTTCTTATAGAAAATTTTTGATTTCAGTATTGTTGATCCACAGTCATATAATCCTGGAAAAACAAATTATGATCCAATGAATGATGCATGTTGGAAACTCGGTGAAAAGTAAATTAAAGATCTAGGACGTAATTTGTAAATTTTTCTGTTTATATTTTAGTGTTCCATATAGTGCATTATCAGCAACATTATTATTAATCGAAGACACATCAGCTCGTTTAGAAATTATTCGTATTTTATCGAATTTTTTTCGTTCAGTTCGTTGTTTATCACCGAATGATTTAGCTCAATGTGTTTATTTATGTGTTAATAAAGTTGCACCTGAATATGAAGGAATTGAATTAGGTATTGGTGAAACTATTATTATGAAAGCTATTGCTGATAGTACAGGACGTACTCTTGAACAATTAAAATTAGATTATAAATCTAAAGGTGATTTAGGTCTTGTTGCTGAGGTAATTTTAAAATAAAGAAATAAATTTTTTTAAATAATCTTAATTATTTTCAGGCATCTCGTTCAACACAACGTACTATGTTTAAACCAAAACCATTAACTGTTTCACATGTTTATAAAAAATTAAAAGAAATTGCACAATTGACAGGCAATAAAGTAAAAGTTTTTCTTCTATATAAAATTTTAAATATAATTATTCTCATCTTGTTTTTAAAGAGTCAACAACGTAAAGGTGATATAATAAAAAGTATTCTAGTCTCTTGTCAATCTCATGAAACTCGTTATCTTGTTCGATCATTAGTTGGTAAACTTCGTATTGGTTTAGCTGAACAATCTATGCTTGTTGCATTAGCACATGCATGTATACGTAATGATTATTCAAATTTAAAAGAAGCAGCATTAAAAGAACGTCTTGATAGCGGCACACTTGCTGTGAAAGATGCATTTTGTCAATGTCCATCATATGATATACTTGTTGATGTACTTGTTAATAAAGGTGGATTAGATAATATAAAAGAATTATGTAAAGCAACACCTGGTATACCAATGAAACCAATGTTAGCACATCCATCAAAAGGTATCGATGAAATATTAAAACGTTGTGGACAAAGTGAATTTGCTTGTGAATATAAATATGATGGTGAACGTGCACAAGTAATAAAAGAATTTTTCTTCTTTTGTTGAAAGTTTTATTTCAAATATAATTTTAGATTCATTTAACTGAACAAGGAAATGTATATATTTATTCAAGAAATTCAGAAAATAACACATCGAAATATCCAGATATTATTGAACGAATTCCTAATGCATTTCAACCACAAGTTAAATCTTTAATTTTGGATGGTGAATGTGTTGCTTATGATATTGAACAGAAAAAATTATTACCTTTTCAAACATTATCAACACGAAAAAGAAAAGTAAAGTTTGTTTTCGATAGAAGAATTTTAACAAGAAAATTTTAAAATTTTATTTAACAAATTCGTACTAGACAATACCCTGTAAGGGATTGGAGAGAGCGGCAGCCATGGGTAAAAAAATCTCTTTTTGAAGCATATTCGAGGTAGCATAGCATCGTTTTTCACGCTGTTTGCTGAGAAAAAAATAATCGAAATGGGGTGGCGGTCGCCGGATTGCCAACCATTGACTAATCACTCTAGTATCTGTATTCATTTCTTTTTTTTGTACTATAATATTCACATTAAAATTTTCGTAATAACTACAAAATTCAATATCATTTGTATTTATTGTTTTATTTTCAGGATGCTGATATTAAAGAAATAAAAGTTCAAGGTTTGTTTTTCTTAAAATTAATGTCTGTATAATTCTTATACATATATATTATTGATTTAGTTTGTATATTTGC